AAAAAAAAAAAAAAATTTAAAAACATATAACGTACGTAATCAAAGCGCTGATGAAATCGGACGGGGAAGAAGCGTTGGCGCTGAGCTTAGAGAGGATAGAGATGAGGAGGTCGTCCGGCAAGGACTGAAAAAAATCAGAAACTGCGGCGGAAGAACGCGGCGGGGAAAAGCGCTTTCTTTTGGGGGAACCGGAGAAATACTGTAAATTTGTTTGTGAAGCTCTCTTCTTCATGTTGGTTCTCATGGGAGAGAGGCTGATATCTGACACAGTCAAACGCAGAGGGAAAAGGGAAGGAAGCAACAAATAAGAGCTCATTTATATATATATATATATAAAGAAAATATTATATGAGAGATAGTGAATGTACGAAATTAGCCTTGGGGTTGTTGTCGTATTCAAAGGTCAAAATTGGGTTGACCCAGATGGGCTGAGGAGGGCAGCTTTTTGGAGTGCTACCCTGTTTTAGTGTACAACAAAAATAAAATTAATTAATTTTTAAAAAAAAATTAAAAAAATTATTAATTGATTTCTGTTGGAAATTAATAATGTTTGTTGGGGGTGACAGATAGGATAGGGCGAGGTGGTATGAATGTATGGATGTATATATGTTTGTATTAGTAGAATTACCGTCTCGCCTGGCTTGGCTTTGGCTTGACTTGGCTTGGACTTGGCTTGGCTTGGCTTGGCTTGCTTCTCGTAGAATCGCTTTTTTTGGGGTTTGTTGCTGGTTTCAAAAGCGCCTAAATTATAACTGCTTGCCATTAAAACGTGAACAAATGAGCTGGCAGTCCACCTCAGCCTCTCTTATTTCCTTTTATTTATTTCTCAATTTCACATTTTTCAAAATTCTTTTTTACTTTAAAATATCTTTTTTTAAGAAAGATTTGAATTTTTTAAATATATTTAAAATGTAAAAATATTAATAGTGTTTTTAGGTTTAATTAGTTTGAATTAAAATATTATAATACACATTAAACAATATCTTAATCAACATTCAAAAATAGCCCTCATAGATCAAAATCTTAAACATCCCCCAACTTCCTCATGTGTGTAGCAAGAGATTAGATGTGAAAATCTCTCTCTAGTCGACGCGTTTTAAAATCGTGAGACTGACAGTGATACGGATCAAAACGAATAATATCTACTGGCGGTGGGCTTAGGCTTGAGGTTGACGACAGTATATAATGGGTCAAACAGACCATATCTACTAGAAGTGGGTTTAAACTGTTACAAATTGAGCCTAGTAATAGAAAAATATCTAGCTTGGTTCCAAGAGCAATTGTTAACTATTGACACTACTTGTTCTTATGG